TCAGGCAAGGTCCCTGGTGAGCTTCCAGGCCCTGGGAGGCCCGGCCCGGCGCCACCAGGAGGCAGGTGTCTGTGGGCCTAGCCCGTCCTGTGTCTGTTGGGGTGGCCCTGAACCCGGCACAGCAACAGCGAGGGGGGCGGGGAGCCTCCGAGGAGCCAAGGCAGAGGGAGGGGTCAACGCAAGCAGCGCTGGAGGATGGAGGGGCCTGTCGCAGAGCACACAGGCCACCATGTCAGCAGCAGGACAGGGGACGGCTTCTCCTCTCTGCCCCTCAGGCCACCCCCCCCCCCAGGCCTCCCCTCACTCACAATGAAGGCTGGTGCAGGGAAGACCCAGCGAGGAGCTGTGACAAGGCCACGCACCCCAGGCCACCACCCCAAGGCCTGTGGAGGGGACAAAGAGTGCAGCTCTCCAGAGGGGAGCCCTGCTCGGCGCGTCGCCCCAGCCTCACTGGAGCCACCGAAAGTGGAAACCGTGTTTCAGCCCCACTTTTGCTGCTTAGGGAATCTCCGTGGCACTCACCCACGAGCGTTCCTAGCGCCTCCCATGTCCCAGGTCCGCGGGGCTCGGCCGACAGGCCGAACCCACTGCGCACAGGCACTCCGGCGGGTTTGCACCCGCTGCACAGACCCCAGGGCCTGCACCAGCCTCCCCCGCCACCGGGGCAGGCTTTCCTCGGCCACGACCCCACCTCTGCTAACGCTCCGGGGGCCCACGCAAGTCCGTGGCCAAGCTTGAGGCCACGCCGGAGGGAAGTGCGGCTCTCGCCAGGGGCTGTGACAGCAGCGTGACATCCAGACCAGGAAGAGAGGACTTGGGACCAGAAACTTAATCTACTGCAAAAGGTAAACCAAAGATTTGGTCTTCCCCGCGGGCACGTGTCGTGGATTTGTTCATCCTCGTAGGTGATCCATGGTCCAGGGAAAGGAGGAAGGCCCAAGGGAGCGCTGAGGCCACCGGGTCCCACCTGCAGGGAGCCGCCACCGACATGCTCCCTCCCCGTCGTCCCTGTGTCCCTGTCCCCTTCCCTCAGCAGCCACTCGGGGAGTCATCCTCCCCCACGTGTGAGTAATCCTGGAGTCCCGGGCTCGGGGCTAGGAGCCTAGAGGCTTCTTTCCTGATGGAGACAAAGACTGCTCTAGGCTCTAGGCTCCGGGACCTGGAGGAGGGACCCGGAGGAGGGACCCGGAGGAGACTTGCTGCCGGGCACCTGGAAAGCCTTTAGCCACTGTCCCTCGGCCGCTGCGCCTGCCTCACCATACCCAGCAGCAGAGCCGTGCTTCCCTGATCCCAGCAGGTGGACCATCCCAGCTCTGGTCCCTGCTCAGCCCCTAGAAGGTCCCCCTCCTTGGGGGTGCTCCCATGGTTCTCGGTACAGCCGCCCGTGCCCGTCAGTCCCCCCGGGCCTGCCCCCTGCCCCGGCCTTGCCGCCTGTGTGCATCAGCCTCCAGGTGGCTCTTCAATTCTGCGACATTCCCCGGTGAGACACGAAGTCCTGGGGGGTCCCTGAGGCTGCGTCCGCAGGTCTGCAGGAGGGGGAGCTTCGGAGGAATCCCGAACTCCTGAACCCCGGGGTCGCACAGCAGGCTCAGAGCAGGTTCCAGGCCGGGGCTTAGGAGGAGGTGGGCTCCAGCCCGCACCCCGGGGCGGGGGGCACCCTCCAGCTCTGACCTGGTCAAGGCTGGTGCTCTCCCTCTACGCGGCCTGGTCCCCCAGGGTGGGCTGAGGCTGGTTCTCCACCACCTGCCTACCTCCGCTCTCCGGAGGCTCCTGTTGGTTTACTTTTTAAAGATCTTATTTATTGGGATCCCTGGGTGGCGCAGCGGTTTGGCGCTTGCCTTTGGCCCAGGGCGCGATCCTGGAGACCCGGGATCAAATCCCACGTCAGGCTCCTGGTGCATGGAGCCTGCTTCTCCCTCTGCCTGTGTCTCTGCCTCTCTCTCTCTCACTGTGTGACTATCATAAATAAATAAAAATTTAAAAAAAAAGATCTTATTTATTTGAGGGGGAGGGAGCGTGTACACAAGCAGGGGAGACACAGGCTCGATCCCTGGACCCCGGGGTCACGCCCTGAGCCAAGGGCAGCCACTCGGCCGTCCCGGGAGCCCCACTCTGGAGGTCCACGGCTAACTTCTCGGCGTCTTTGCCGAAACATCAACTTAACACCTTGATACGTGCAAACAAAACTTTTTATTTATTTATTTATTTATTTATTTATTTATTTATTTATGACAGTCACACAGATAGAGAGAGAGAGGCAGAGACACAGGCAGAGGGAGAAGCAGGCTCCATGCACCAGGAGCCTGACGTGGGATTCGATCCCAGGTCTCCAGGATCGCGCCCTGGGCCAAAGGCAGGCGCTAAACCGCTGCGCCACCCAGGGATCCCCCAAACAAAACTTTTTAAGAAGCATTTCCCACAGCCGCCGAGGGCCAGCCCTGTGCCTCCCGGCCTCTGGCGCCGAGGAAGGCTGGCCAGGTCAGGAGCCAGCGGGCGCCGGCTGTGTGTTTCTTGGCGCAGCCTTCATCCTGCTCCGGGCTCTGTTCCGCAGCGATGAGAGACAACGGTCCCCAGACAGGCTGGCTCTTAGCGTTAATTGAAAGTGGCCTTTCTCATCAATCACCCGCTGCCCTCAAGTGTTAACACGGCAGGCACAGAGGCCTCGAGGCCTGGGGCCCTGCCACCCTCCCTGGGAATGCTCTTACCAGGCGAAATGCAACTTCCTTTTGGCCTCAGAAAAGACAAACCGGGTCTGCCGCTGTTTCCAGATTTTCCAGCTCCCAGAGACCCGGGGAGGAACAAGACCTGAAAACAGGAAGCAGGGCCGGGCTGCAGCCAGGCCTGGACACCGTGGACGGAGGGGAGCTGGCCCCGAGGCTGCAGCCCTCAGCCTGCTGCACAGCCAGCCCACGGGGAACGGTCTCAGGCCTTGCTTGGCCTCTCCTCTCGGCTGGCCAGCAGGGGAAAGCAAGGAGGGGTAGGGCAGGGGCGCCCCACCGTTTCCAGGTGGTCGGCAGAGCCCCGGATACCGTTTGCTCATCGGAAGGCGGTCCCCACCCCGTAGTGTGACACAGCAGGTCTCCAGAGGCCGCGTGCACCGAGCCTGCACCCTCACGCCCCAAACACGAGCGGTAGGAGAAGCAATCTCCCCGATACCTGCCCTCATCTTGCAGGAGAGGGAACCAGTGTCTGCGCTCAGTGGGCTGCGGCGTGAGGGCAAAGGCCCAGCCACTGGTCTCCAGGCCCAGCCGAGAGCTTGCGGGGGCCTGCAATGTGGAAGCTGGGGGGGGCAGGGCACCCTGGGGTGCAAGCCCTCCAGCCCCGGCCCGGATGCTGTGCCCAGTAAGACGCGGCTCCCTGCCTTCATGAAGCCCCGTCAGCCAAGGAGGGAGACGTGGGGTCACACAGGCACTGGGTGCGGCAGAGGGGTGGCGGCGGGGTCCTGCAGGGTGAGCCTGGAGGACAGTTGGGGGTGGGGGCTGAACATGAGGAATGGAGAGGAAGTGGGTGCGGTGTCAGGGTTAGAGATGCCGGCCGGGCCGGAGAAGGTGGTGGCGAGGGCGTCGGCCTGGGGGGAAGCTGCCAGGAGCGGGGGTGGGGGGTGGGGGGGCTGTGACAGAGCAGCCAGCAGGCCTGGGAGCTCAGCAGGAGGCTGGGGGCGGCCACAGGCACCCCTTGGGCAGAAGCACCCACTCGCACAGCCGGGGTCCAGCCAGGGGCTGGGGCGGGCCTCGTGGGGGGTCCCCGACACGGGCTGTGTGGGCCTTGCTTGCTGCCCGTCCAGGTGGGGGCCCCTTGGGCGCCTCAAGCGGCAGGAGGGAGGATGTGAACCCCCCCCGGAGGCTGCACGGACGGGGGTTCCAACAGCGCCCCCGTCCTGCCTCAGCCCTAGGACCCAGTAACCTCACCTGGCAATGGGAACCCCGCAGGCCCGAGCCCCCTCTCCTAGGCATCACCAGCCCAGCGCGAGCAAAGGTCCGAGCCCCAGGCCCTCCAGACCCTGCAGCCAGTGCAGTGGGCACCAGGGGAACGGCTGGTACAGGGGCCACCCGGCCTCCTGGCAGCCCGGGTTGCAGAGGACAGACAGGCCCTACTGGGTACACACACAGGGACCCCCTTCACCCGACCGCCCAAGGAGGACCCCCCCAGGGCACCACCCATCCCACCTGCGCCCTGCCAGCCCAGTGGGCTCCGCACCTTGTCCACTCAGCCTCCTCCATGGGGGGCCAGGTACGGGGGCCAAGCAAGCGGGGCCGACTCGGTCTTGGGACGAGGCCCTCAGAGCTGTCAGACAGGCCGACCCCACCCTACGCACATCCATTCCTTTCAGTCCCACCTATGACGTGGCCCCAAGTCTCACATGCTCCCAGCGGTGCCCCCAGGGATGCTGTGCCGTGTCCCAAGGGGGTGCGTGTCCTCCCCTGGGCGCCGCCAGAGCCCGCAGAGGAGCAGGAGGCCCTGCCCCAGCCTCGTCACCCGGCGCCGCCCCTGCACCCCGGCAGGAATCTGCACGGTGCCGGGGCTGCAGGTGCCCGGGGGAAGCAGTGCTGCCGAGTCACACAGTGCACATAGCCCCCCCCCAAGGCCTGGCCACCATCCTGACCCTTTCAGCCCAGAGGGCCCTAACCCCACCAGACACTGTGCGGGTGCTGAAGGTCACGGTCCCAAACGGCACAGCTGGCGAGGGCGGAGCCCAGCAGAACCGGGTTGGGTGCCCGGGAGCCTGGTGGGCACCAGCCTGGGGGAGGAGGGCGGGGGGGCAGGTGCAGGCCCCTCCATCAGATGCTGTGGCGATGGCCTTCACCCAGACCCTCCCTCCCTGCCCTGCACCCCCATCTCCCTCCCCGTGCTCTCCACACCCCATCTCCCTTCCTCCCTTCCGGCATCCACCCCCCTCCCCCACCCCCTGCTGGATGAGCCGGGCCTGGTTGGGTGGAGCTGGCTGGCTCCCGGCCTGCACCGCCCCCAAGGCTCTTAAAAGCCTGCCCCAGGGCTGAAGGCACAGAGACCTGAGCGCTGCCAACAGCCCCATGGCCGGTAAGCCCCCCACCCTTGCCTCCAGCGGGCGTCGGCCCCCACCCCGGCCCCCCCCCAGGCCGCACTTGCCCAGCGGCCTGAGCCCGAACCCATGGCCAGTTCCCCGCAGGTCCCGGCCCCGCAGCGCAGGGGGTCCCGTCGGGGTAGCGTCGCCCCTCCCACCCGCACCCTCTCCCACCGACCGGAGGGCTGAGGAAGGGATGGGCTTTCAGAGAAGTTACAGACCCCAAACAGTCCAGCGTCCCAGCAGCTGCCCCACCCCAGGCGCGTCCCCTGTGCCTCCTGGGGCGCCTGACGCCCACACTGGGCTACCCCGTGCCCGACCCGGACGCGAAGCTCGGGGAGGCTACGCAGGAGCACGAGGAAATGGTCCCTTCCAGCCAGAAGCCCAGGTTCAGGGCCAGCGGCTTTTCCAAGCCTGCTGGCGGGGGGTTGTCCAGGGGTCCGCCCAGGGGCCGGGTGCTGTGGGAGCCCTGCCCCCAGCAGGTGAGAGTGAGGCTGGCGTGGCCTCCCCGCAAGGCGATCCTGGCGGCCTCTGTCCCCAGAGCAGGTGGCCCTGATGGCCGGGGGCCTGGCCGGGGGGCTGCTGCTGCTGCTGCTGCTGCTGCTGCTCTGCGGGAGCTGCCACCTGTGGAAGAAGCTTCGCGCCGCGCCCGCCTACGAGGAGCTGCCGGGGACCCCGTCTGCCTGCAGCCTCCGGGGACCCGGGGGGCGCAGGCCCGGGGGCAGGTGAGGCAGGAGGCGAGGGGGCCGGGCACGGGCTGGCAGGGGTCTGTTATGGGGCAGCCCTCGGCCCACCACGAGGGAACCCCGGGACCATCACCACCGGCGGCGGGGCAGGCGTTGCAGGCTCATGTGCCAGATGAGGAAATGGGTGCAGAGGACACGCGGAGCCGGGGAGCAGGACTCACAAGTGCCAAAACAGGCATTAGAGTCGGGCCCGGCGGCAGCAGGCAGTGGCGTTGGCTTCACAGGCGGGGTGACAGGGCCCAGGGGGCCCCAGGAGACGGTGCTCTCGCCTCCTCCGCTCCTGCTTCCTCTTCTTCCCCTGTGGGCCAAGCACACCGAGGCCACCAACATGCATGTCCTCTCCCTGCCTTGGGACAGGCCACCAGATGTGCCATTTGTGGTGCCCCCTTCCCTCCAAGACCAAGACCGGGGGCCCCTGCGCAGTGGAGGGTGGGCGCAGGCCCCACAGCACCCCTGCCTCGCCCTGGAGCTCCGGCCCCACACCTCGGGCGGCATCGCTGGTGAGTTCTCCTGCCAGAGCCCGTCCCAGGCCAGGGCCCGTCCAGGCCGCGTCAGAGGCACCCATTGGCCTCCATGGCCAGCAGCCCTCACTGCCAGTCACCAGCTCTGTGGGCAAAGCCCTAAGACTGCGATGCCTGGGGAAAGCCCACAGCACTGGCGCCTGCTGGCGGGACGTGGGCAGTGACCTCCCCCCCAGGTTGGACTCCGGGAGTGAAACGCCGCGGGGGCGGGGGGTGGAGGGCTCCGCTGGGTCTCAGCAGGAAAGCCACGTCCCCGGGAGCCTAGTGCTCCCGGCAGGGCCTTCTGCTTTCCGACCCCCGGAAAGAGCTGCCCAGGGAGCACTTGGAGGACTCGGGTTACCGGGTGCCAAGGCAGCCCCAGCTCGGGCGTCTGAGGGGGAAGGGACCACACCCCTTCTTACTCGACCTCAGAGCTGAGCCGGGCCTTGTCAAGGTCTCAGGGCGGTGAGCAGCATTGGGGCGCGGGCCACGTGCTGGCTCTGTGCTAGGCTGCGAGGCGGCCTGACGCAGGGGGCACAGCCTCTGCCGCCCCCGTGCTCGGATGCCAGGCCCCTTCCCCGGGACCACACCGGCACCGCTGACCCTTCTAATTGGAAGGGGAGGAAGAGGCAAAACTTTGTCACTGACACCCCCCAGAAACGGTGGGCAGGAGCCAGCCAGGCCAGGTGCCGGGCACCATGTCCCCGCCCCCCCCCCGCAGCCCCAAGCAGGCCCTGACCTTAGGGGCAGCGGGTAAATGAGTACCGGGGACGCCGGGGGGCCTCGGGGGGCAGCAGGCCTGGACAGGGCATGCCTTAGTGCTGGCGGGCTTCCTGGGGGAGCTGCACTGGAGACGGGGCTGTGTTCAGTGGGAGGAGGGCTGGGGGCGGCCTGGAGAGGGCTGCCCGCTGGAAGCTCAGCCAAGGAGAGACGGGTGGGGGGCCCTGGGCTGCCGCCCCCTCCCCCACTCCTGGCAGACCACGTGGCCCTGTGTCGCAGGAGAGGTAAGCACGGTGGGGACCATCAACCCAGAGCTGTACAGGGTCCCGGAGGACAGGAGTGAGACCGACTTCCCCGAGGGCTGCCTGGGGCGGCTGTGGTTCTCCGTGGAATACCGGCAGGAAGCCGAGCGGCTGCTGGTGGGCTTGATCAAGGCGCGGAGGCTGCGTGCCCCCTCGGAGGCCTGCAGCCCCCTGGTGAAGCTGCACCTGCTGCCTGACGAGCGGCGCTTCCTCCAGTCCAAGACCAAGCGCAAGACCTCCAATCCACAGTTCGATGAGCACTTCGTCTTCCAGGTAGGACGTCTGGAGCAGGGGGCTGGCCTCAGGGGGTGGGGGGGGAGCGGACGCTGCACAGGTGGGCCCTGGCCTCCCGGGCTGGGGGGGAGGGGATGCTGTGCAGGTGGGCCCCGCCACATCCCCCGAGGCCCCAGGCACCAGGGCTCTGCTTTATCCCGCCGCCAAGTTGGGAGGACAGCCCTGAGCCTGATGGCGGCACTGGGGAGAAGGGAGGGAAGTGCGGGGAGAGGCCCGTGCTCCTCTCGGCCATCCTTGGAGCACCTCCTGAATGCATGCCAGGCACGGGCAGCCCCGGCTCCGGCCCGGGGGCGGGGGTGTGTGGGGGGGTGCTCCCGGCCAGGTTCCCGAGGCAGGCAGAGGGTGAGCCCCACCGCGGTCCTCAGCAGGCGGTGCCCTGGCTGCCCGAGCACAGGCCGGCTCAGGGCCGAGGTGCCGAGGCCGCGGGGTCTGAGAGCCTGAGCAGGTGACTGGGGCCCTGACGGGAACCAGCCCTCAGGAGCCACCGTGAGGCCTGGACAAACGTGGTAGAGCCGCGCTGGCAAGGGGCGGAGAGGTCTGTGCGCGGCAGTAGTGTGCTCCCGAGAGCCCGGCCCTGATCCTCGCCCCCTTCTGGGGCTGGGGGCGGGGGGCTGGAGCCAAAGGCCTGGCAGGGGCCTGGGCAGCAGGACTCACAAGTGACCCCGGTCTTCCCGCGCCGTGAGGATCAAGGCCCGCAGACCCGCGCGGCTCCATGTCCTGCTCACCGACGGGCTCCCATCCACTCACGACTCCACGCCCGGTCGCAGCCCCACTGGCTCCGCTCGTGCTTGGGGGCAGGGGCAGCCGAGGGGGGATGAAGGGAAGTCCGTGCTCACCGACCATCTCCCAAAGGCCAGACGCTGCGATTGGGGTTTTCCAACTCAGAGAGTAGGAATCGTGTCCCCTTTCCAGGTGAGGAGACAAGGCCCAGAGGGAGACCCGGGGCACCCAGCTCGGGGCAGGGTGCGGGACGTCGCGCTGTGACGGAAGGCCAGGTGCCGGGAGGTGCATCTACTCGTGGGCGAGGGGCGTCCCGTGTCTCAGTGGGGCCCCGGGGGCGGGGGGGGGCTGGTCCTCAGCCGCACCGTGCAGGCTCCCGCGCCCCTGGGGGGCCAGCGCCTGCTGGGAAGGGTGCCCTGTGGGTGGCGCCTGGCTGCGGGGAGCGCAGGTCCCTGGCTGCCACCTCTCTGCACAAGCTCCCCTGTCTGCAGCCGCAGCCGCCCACGGGTCTCTGCACCCACCCGGGCCCAGACCCTCCCATCCCCCAGGTGTCCAGCCAGAGCGTCACCCAGAGGGTCCTCAGATTCTCCGTGTACCACGTGGACAAGCAGAGGAAGCACCAGCTCCTGGGCCAGGTGTTCTTCCCCCTGAAGCACGAGGCCCTGGCAGGTGACCCCCCGCAGGTCGTCTGCAGAGACCTGGAGCCCGAGAGCCTAGAGGTACCGATGGTGGTGGCCCGGCGCGTGCCGTGTGTCACACTACCGAGGGCAGCCAGCAGCCTGGCCCTGCAGCCGCTGCAGCATCAGCCCTCGGCACATGGCCCGGGGCCCAGCAGGGGGGACCGCGGGACCAGGGCCTAGGCCAGAGCTGCGGGGGGGTGCGGGGGGGGGCAGAGCCATTCCTGGGCCCCCAGGGCCCCCTGAGCTGCCTTTGCCCTGGAGACCAGATCCCCTGGAGCACCTGGAAAATCCACACTTAAATTCCCATCCACAACTGACACCTGTGACAGGTGACACCCCAAATGGGCCAGCCATGGGAAGTACTTATTCTCTATCCTCCTGGCCCCCGAGAGGACTTGCAAGAGGCTTGCAAGAGGCTTCGGGATCCCCAAGCCTGGAGTTTGAACCCTCAGCTCTGCTCCTCACTACTGTGTGATCTCAGCCCCGTCCGCTGACCAGACCTCAGTTTCCCCAAGTATAAAATGATGGGGGTTTAAAAGAGAAAATGGGGTACATGTGCCTGACTGCTCGGACCAGGGGGGGAGGTAGTGTGGCCCCCTCAGCACCTGCTGGGCGACGGGGTGCCCTCAGACCAGGGGGAGGTAGCGGGGCCCCTCCAGCACCTGCTGGGCGACGGGGTGCCCTTGGACCAGGGGGAGGTAGCGGGGCCCCCCCAGCACCTCCTGGGTGACCCCGGGCCCCTGCAGCCTCCCTCCGAGTTCGGGGACCTGCAGTTCTGTCTCAGCTACAACGCCTGCCTGAGTCGCCTGACGGTCATCGTGCTGCGAGCCAAGGGCCTCCGGCTGCAGGGGGACACGAGCTCCGTCAGTGAGTGTCCTTCTGGGGTAGCTCCTGCCCTGCAGCTGGGACCCTCCCTCTGCACACGGCCCGACTCGGAGCCTCACTGTCCCCCATGGACGCCTGTGATGCGAGGCCACTCCATCACCCTGCACCCACGACTGTCCCCCGGGGCCTCCACCAGGACCCCACAGGCCCAGGCCAGGTCGGCCCTCGCTTCTCCCCTGCAGGGTCTTGGCTCCTGGGACGGTGCTGTCCATCCTCCTCCGCGTCTGTCCTTCCATGAAGGATGCGCGGTCCTCCAGCGCCAGACCCCCCCACCCCCCTAAGGGTTCCCTGAACACGAGGCATCCCAGCAGCCTTGCTCCCTGGAGGCCGGGACCTGGAGGAGCGAGGCCCTGCTCTGGCTCAGGGAACGTCCTGCCTGAGGGGCCCCTGTTGGGGGGGGGGCTGCCGGCCACCTGTGTGTCCTCGTGGTCACTGCAGCAACTTGTCCTTGAACCTCCCTGTGGATCCACACCCCCTGTGAGCGCCACCCCAAGAAACTTGTCCCCTGAAGGCGAAGGCACTCAGGGGGCCGCAGGGAGGCAGGGCACGCAGTGGGCGGGCTGGGAGTGGTGCCCTGGGAGCCCCAGAGCCTTCGGGGGACAGAGGAAGGAAAAGGGGGGGCCGCACGCTTCCTCGGGTGTAGGACCACACCCACCCACCCCGTTTCCTCGGGTCACCACCTTGGGCCGCAGCGGCCATGAGTGATGGGGTCCTGGCCCCCAGGGTGCGCCCGTCACCCAGCCAGCCCCCAGCTGCCCCGGCCAGACCCCAGTAGCCCCCCGCCCCTGCCCAGCCCGGTCCGCATCGCCCCCAGGTGTGTGGATCCAAGTGTCCCTGAGGAACCAGCACACGATGGTCAAGAGCAAGAGGACGTCGGCCGTGCAGGGCTCCGGCTGCCCCGTGTACAGCGAGACCTTGAGCTTCCACGTGCCCCCTGCCGAGCTGGACGCGGCCAGCCTCAGCCTGACAGTGCTGCAGGGCGCGGGAGCCCACGGTAAGGCAGCCCCACCCGGGGCCTGGGCGCACGGCATGCCCCACACAGTGCACCCCACTCAGGCTGGGCCTGGCCCGAGGACACGGAGCTCCTGGTGCCTCGGGGACCCGCGCAGCCTGGTCCGTGGGTCTCGCGGCAGCGGGGCCTCCCCGGGGCACCCGAGCCACCCATCCCCGGGCAAAGCCACCGACAGTGGGGGAGGTGCCACCGCCAGGACCGGTGCCGTGGCTGCTGTGCGCCCGCCAGCGACCGTCCTAGACTGGGCCCAGGGTCAGGGTGAGGGTCGGGGTGCCCTCTGGCCCCCAGGGTCGCACTGGGCCCTTCTGCACCCTGTGCGTGGCAGGAGGCGCTGGCCAAGGATCCCGGCCACGCGGGGCTGCCCCTGCCCTGACCCGTGTCCCTCCTGCTGTGATGCCCGCTGCCCTGCCGGGCTCCCCCCAGGGCTCCTGCCACCGCGTCTCGCTCCTGCCTGGGGGGCGCTTGCTGCGGCCTGTGGGGGAGGGGCAGGCGCCAGGTGGGGGCCTGGGGCCCAGAGCTGACCCGCCCCCCCAGGCAGCCGGCAGCTGGGCCGCGTGGTGGTGGGCCCCCGCATGTTCGCGTGGGGCAGGCCGCAGGAGCACTGGGACCAGATGCTCAGCGCGCCCGGGGAGCTGGTGAGGCGCTGGCATGCACTGGGCTGTGCGGTGGAGGAGCCCTGAGCCCGGGACCTGCGGTGGCACCAGGAGCACCCCCACTCTGCACTCCGCACCCCAGGAGCACCCCTACCCCCCACCCCGCACCCCGCGCCTCGGCCTGGAAGCCGACACCAGAGGAGACATGAAGCCGCAATTGCTCCCCAGCTGGAGGCCCCCTCCCCATGGGGCTGCCCAGCGCCCCCCACACCCCCCTGATCCCAGAGCCCCAGCGGGGCCACCCTGGCAGCACCTCAGGTCGGCAGAGGGGCCTCAGTGGCCACCCAGGACACCCCAGCCCTGGGGTCAGCCATCAGCACCGCGGCGGCTGCGCAGGACGAAGGTCCTCAAGGACTCGCCCGTGGGCTTGGCATCCGCCCGTTGTACAGGTGTCCCCGGGCCCTGCGGTCTCCCGGCGACAGCACTTAACCCATGTGGCTCACTTCGGAGGGACAGCGCGTGGCCACAGCACAGCCTTGACTGGACCCGGCGACCTGGCGATGACCGGAAGGTGACCGACGGCCCACGACTGCCTCGGGCAAGCGTGCACACTCCACGAAGCTCGTCACCACCTCCCCGCGACGCTGGACTCAAGGTGATGGGCATCAATGTGCTGGTCACCGTCACCTGCCGGGGGCCTTGCTGTGGTCGCGAGCCAGACAAATGAATCCTGGGTCTCCCGGCGGCGGGGAAAGTCAGGATTATCACGCTCTGTGCCTCTTGCACTTTGTCTATCCCTGTTACGGCTGAAGGTGGCCTCACCCGGCAGAGGGCGCGCACCCTCCCACGGACCGCACACCACGGCCACCCCACAGCTCCACCCTGTCCCCACGCGTGACGGCTCCATGCCCCCATCCCCTGTGTGTCACTGCTCCACCCTGTCCCCACATGTCACGGCTCCGTGCCCCCATCCCCCACGTCACAACTCCACGCCCCTGTCCCCCACGTGTCACGGCTCCGCACCCCATGCCCCACGTGTCTCAGCTCCATGCCCCTGTCCCCCACGTGTCTTGGCTCCATGCCCCTGTCCCCACGTTTCATGGCTCGCACACTCGTGCCGTCGTAGAGCAAGCCCCTCTGCCAGGCCTGCTTCCATGTCCCCGGGGCCTGAGCCAACAGGCACCAGCCGCACCCGCATGTCAGGGGGACGTGGCACCTGCCACTGGCCCTGCTGGTGGGTCAAGCATCCCCCGTGCAGGACACAGTGAATGCGTGTGTCTGACTCACAGCTGAAGACTCTCAGCGGCAGGAGGCTGTCGTGCTGGGCCCTGCAGGAGGGGACGGAGGGGGGCCGGGGGCAGCTGGGTGTCTGCAGTCGGGGTCAGGGCAGGACATAACTGGAGGGGGCGAGCGGGGCTGCCTTGGTCCTGCCCACCGGGCGCCTCCGGAGGGAAGCCCTTCACCTTTGCACAAAGCATTTGGAAGGAGCTGATCAGCGGCCACGCCAACAAGTGCTAGCGCGTGGCGGAATTCTCATGGAGTAAATACACCGTTTGGGGGCCATCTGATAATCCTACAACTTTGCATCTTCAATCCATTAACATGGTATATCCCTCCGTCTCCTCTGGTCGGTCTCTCTCTACCTCTAATTTTTAAGGATGCCGGTATCATTCATTTTTTGTTGTTTCGTTCATTTCAATGTCATTTATTTTAATTCCATGTATATTTTACAGCAAGCAAGACATTACTATTATTACTATGTTCCATCAGGATTCACTTCTATTCACCCCCAGCATCGTTCTTTTGCTTTCCCTTCTCTCCTGTGCCTCTGGGACTCTACTTGAGATCCTTTTCCTCCTACTTGAAGAACTCTTTTTAGTATTTCTTTTAGTGCAGATCCGCTCCCAGCAAATTTTCTTAGTTTTGTAACAGAAACGTCTATTTCAAATTCATTTTTAAAGGATTTTGTCTTTGTTTTTGTGGAAATAGAATAGGCTGACAGTTTTTTTCCATCAGTGGTTTAAAAATTACGTTCCTTGTCTTCTCCCTTCCCTCATTCTTGTCGACACGTGAATTATCCGTGCTGTTGGTTCTCCTCTGAAAGTAATGCATCTCCTTCTACTTCCCACCCTTTGTGTTTTTTAATATTTTATCCGTATCTTCGGTTTTCAGTAGTTGGAGTATGATGCACCTCCAGGCAATTTTCTTATTACTTACCCACCCTGGGAGTAATAAATCTTCCTCAGTTTGGGAAATTCTCAGCCCGTATTTCTTCAGATGTGGTTTCTCTTCCCTTCTTCCTCTCCTCTGCTTCTGAGACTCCAATTACACGCTTGTTAGATCTTCCTGCAGCTCCCACAGGACTCTGGGCACCTGCAGTTTCCAGGCCTTACGTCTGTGCTTCGGCCCAGTCTTCATGCCGCCCTCCTCTGTTCCACTACATCTTCCTTCCACGAAGTCTAACTGTATTAAGCTATATGCCGAGGCCTGCATTTCAATTACTGCATTTTTCCATCCTAAGTTTCCACTTGCTGCTCTGTGATGAGCTCCAGCTCTCTCATGCAGGGAGAGCTCTATTTTGCCAAACACACCCGATCAGCGGGTCAGTTTTATTGTGTATGTTTTCACCCTCGGGTCCTGTTACGTGGTGTGTTTGGTCACATATTGTCCGACGCTGACCATTATGATAAACGATAATGGCTCCAGGAGACAGTAGTCCTCCGGACACGGTTCACGGTGTCCTCTGGTCGACAGAATGAGGGGAGGTCACCTTGATCCAGTCTGGTAATGAACTAACTGGGGTCTGGGTTGCAGGATTTTTGCAGGGTTTTTTGTTGTGTGTTTTTTGTTGTTTTTAGAGAAAGTGTGAGTGTGGGGTCGGAGTGATGGGGGGAGGGAGACAGGAATCTTTTTCTTTGTGAAGATTTTCTTTATTTGACAGAGAGGGCGAGAGCACAAGCAGGGGGAGAGGGAGAAGTGGGCTCCCCCATGAAGCAGGGAGCCGGATGAGGGACTCAGTCCCAAGGCCCTGGGATCATGACCTGAGCCAAAGTCAAGAGTTGGATGCTCCACCGAATGAGCCACCTGGTGCCCCTGGTTGTAGTTTTTGTGAGGCTCCATGACCACCCCCAGGTTTTCCCCATTTCTAGGGTGTAGTGTTTCAAGGATACCATTTGGATCACCCGAGGAGGCTCTGGTGCGATGACTGGGCTCCTCTTCCTTGATAGGTCCTGGAAGTCCAGTTTTTATATCCCCAGTGTCATGCTATTTGTCACAAAAAAAGAAGGAAAGGAAAGGAAAGGAAAGGAAAGGAAAGGAAAGGAAGAAGGAAAGGAAAGGAAAGGAAAGGAAAGGAAAGGAAGAAAAAAAAAAAAGCCCCGCCGTCGTCCAGGGGCTTTCTGCATAGATTGATTCAGGTTCATAAACCCAGCAAATGCCTCAAAGGGAAAGAGCCCTCCGTGCCTGAATCCCCTCTTGTCTACTCTCCAGCAGACACCCCACTCCTTAACCCCCGGCCCCGTGTCTGTCCCGTGTCTGTCCCGCTGCAGACACCGGGCCGCCGCCCCGTGGCCTCTCAGCCACGGCCCCTGCCCCGAAGCCCAGCCTCTGAATGGAAATCAGTCCTTCCTGGAGGGACGGGTCCACGGACGTCAGGCCACCTCCGCGTGCTTTCCCTCTCTTGAGAGCACGGCCTGTTGAACACCTGTGGAGTTGGCAGCTGCCAGGAGCTTCGAGAGATTTTCTGTATCCCCTTCAGCTTCCCCAGTCGTTCCCCAGCCTGAATATCAGCCCAGCTCACACAGAAAAGTCATTGTTTTCTCAGAATCCCCAGAAAAAGAGTCCCCTCTTGGCAAAGACCGAGAACCACGCGATCCTGGGAAGGCTGTTAACCCCAAAAGGAGGAGGGTCGCTCGTTTGCCACAATTGCGCTTAACAAGCAATCGCGCCACCTCAGCTTGTGCTTCTGAGCGTCTCCTTGCCCCGGCTGTAGCGGGCTGGGCGTGAGCCCCGGGTTGGGTGCAGCTGCTTCAGGTCCCCGCCAGGCCTGCTCCGGTGCGTCCTCCTGCCACAGGCCCGGGAGCGGGGGCCCCTCTGGGAGAAGGCGACCTTCTGCTGCTGCCAGGCTTTATGTAATAGCCCCTCAGCTGAGGACGCTGTGTGGCCAAGGTCAAAGTCGGGGGGCGGGGGCGGTGTGCAGGGAGCCCAGGTGCCGTTTCCGAGAGGAACTGCAGCTGCGCGGGGGCCACAGCCTGGGGGCGGGGTGGGGGTGGCGGTGGCGGGACGCCCCAGCACAGGCACCTGCTGCCCGTGGCACCTGCTCCGTGGGGCCTGCTCCACGCTGGCCTGTAGGCCTTTCCCATTGCCCACTGCCCACTGGGGCCGTCAGCCCGGAGCCGACGCAGAGTCGCACTGGCCCAAGGGTCAGGGTCAAAGGCAGAAGGTGGCATGTCACCCTCCTCCCACCCCTCATCTCCGCCTGTCACCTCTCACGGGGCGCTCACCCTGGAGCATGTCCATTGTCCGTTGTCCATCGGAGCGTCTGCCAACGAGGATTTCCAGATGATGCAATAAAGGCCTTTAAAGAGGATGGGGAGGTGCCGCCCTCCCCCCGCCAGGAGAACCCCAGGTACCAGGTCGGCAGGGGCTCTGGGGACTCACGGGGGAGCGACCACCCTCGGCTGGGGGTGACCCCAGTCCCGGATCGAGTCCCGCATCGGGTCCCCGCACGTGGAGCCTGCTTCTCCCTCTGCCTGGGTCTCGCCTCGCTCTGTCTCATGAATAAACACGTGAGATCTTAGAGAGAGAGAGATCAGCAGAGTGAGAGGCTGCTAAGGCGCCCACAGGAGATCACGGCTCCTGTGTGCCCTGACCGAGGGCCTCTGTCCCCACGTGGCCCCCGCCGCCCCCTCGCTGCCTGGTTAGCAAGCTGGGGGAGGAGTGGGAGCCCAGGACCCGACAAATAGGAACCCAGTGCTTGGGCCCAATTCCGCCGCAGCCTGCGGGGCGCGGGGAGGGGGGGACGATGACAGTGTGCAGGGTCCTCCAGGAGCTAAGGATACAGCTGCCTCACGACCCAGCAACTGCACTGCTGGGGATTTACCCCCAAGACACATGCGGGGCAACACGGGGACCCCTGCAGCCCAGCGATCCCAGCAGCGGTGCCCCCGAGAGCCACGCCGTGGGAGGAGCCTCGGTGCTGGGACAGACGAGGACCAAGAAGACCTGGTCTGTGCGGACATGGGTCGTCCTCAGCCCTCGGCACGAATCCCCACCCGGTGCTTCCTCGGGGGTGATGCTGACTGCGGTCGCTCGGAGGACAATCATATGGTCTCAGTCATACGGGGAATATAAGAAATAGTGGGGTTTTAGGGGAAGGAGGGACACTGAGTGGGAAAAATGAGAGAGGGAGACAAACCAGGAGAGGCTCCTGACCCTGAGAAAGGAACAAGGGGCAGTGGAGGGGAGGCGGGCGGGGACGGGGTGACTGGGTACCGGCACTGACAGGGCACTGGACGGGATGCGCACTGGGGGTGATACTGCATGTTGGCAAACTGAATTTAAAAATGTTTTTAAATCAAAAATAAATAAAAATAAAAATGGGGAGAAAATGAAAAAAGAAGTGAAGTTGCAAATTCCAACTACACGAGACTGGACATTTTAAGTGCTAAACACAGTCTGTAGGTAGGAGTTACATACAAAGAACTTGTCGTTCCCCGAGAGTGACCAGCATAGTCCAGGGCCTTGTCCTAGATGTTATGGGGGGGGGGGGTTGCGGAGAGGCCACCTGCCGGCAGCTTCCAGTGCGGCCCTGGGAAAAAGAGAAGTAGTTTGTTGATGCGATGCCACTGCCGACTGTGGCCCCTGGGGTCTGGGACCTGAGCTCAGTCCCGTGGGTGACAGTGGGCAGGTCCCCAGCCTCGGCTTCTTGCGGGTGACGGACGCAATTAGTCCCCCGGTCCCCCCGCACCCCCAGCGTTGTTCCAGGTGCTTGGTTCTCAGAGGGGGGATCTGCTCAGGGGGGCGGGGGGCTCAGGGGGCCGTGGAGCCGCACCTGTTTGGGGAGTTCGGTGGCGGGGAGGACCCCCCCTGGCAGAGAGGCCTGCACATCACCCAGGGAGCATCGCCCAGGGCGCAGAGCAGGAGCAGGGGGCTGACAGGCCGGTGCAGGTGCCCAGGGTGCTCTCCCTGACCCCACCCGGGGGCCGGAGAGCTGGACGGATACACCTGGGCTGGCACCTTCCACTTGTGCACCTGCAGGGCCAGCGGTGCATTTCTCCCCCTCCCCCCTGCCCCCCCCTTTGGTGTCAACTCTGGGTGCTTGTCCACTGATGATGGAGGCTGACCCGCAGGTGACAGCGCCCCCCCGCCCCGACCTCACACCCGTACCCTGACGTCTTGGACTCAGTGCACCGCAACCTTGCACCCTGACGTCAGGGACACAGCCCCCACCGACCTTGCAGCTGCACCCTGACGTTGGGGACTCAGTGCCCCCCCCAACCTCGCACCCTAACGTCGGGGACACAGCCCCCGCCAACCTCACAGCTGTACCTTGACATCAGGAGACAGAGGCTCTCCCCGCCTGCTGTGCCTGCTGCGCCCTCTGCCGTCCAACTCGGCTCACGGCAGAGCACCTTGGAAGGACGCGGCTAGGAAATTGTTAACTGGTCAGCCAGCCTTCCAGACTCTTCCCTGGCCCCCCAAAGGCACCTGTCCCTCCACCAATATAACCACTAACCTGGTTTTCGTGGAAATGGCTGCTTTGCTCCTCCTCTGTGACGGGGCCGCCATCAACACCGGGCCACCGGCCGCCGCAAAGCTCACAGGGACTGTGACGGGCGCTGCTTCCTCTTGGGCTCCTGAACTCTCCTTGTGTTAAGACGCACTGTAGGCTCGGGGCGGGGAGAGGGTGCCGGGGAGAGGGCACAGGGAGAGGGCACAGGGAGAAGACACCAGGACTGGGGAGAGGGCACGGGGCAAGGGCCCCAGCGCGGAATGCAGTTGCTGGTCACAGGTGTCCCCACCCAGGAAGCTACCCCCCCCAAGTCCCCCACCAGGTTCACTTCTCCCCACAGCCGACTCCCCGGTGCTCTGCATCCTTGTCCACACTTGGTCTCCTCAGTCCTATTTCCATCATCCTCTTCCGTAGGCCGGTCCCCACGGTGGATCTAGTCCCTGCCGGATGGCGCCGACACTGCCCGTTTGCAGGACATGCGGTCATTCCGGGTCTCCTCCGTTACGAAGAGCTTGATCTTACCTGCTTCTCTGTTGGGTTGTGGTTTCCTCACTGATTTGTAGGAAGTCGTTTCAATTAGATGTAGTCCCACTGTTTCCCCCCATTCTGTTTCTTTTTTAATAACTAATACATTTGCAGTTGATTTCCTCCCATTTGTATGCCGTTCTTTTGATAAATAAAAGTTTTTGATTTTAGGGCAGCCCGGGTGGCTCAGCGGTTTGGTGCCTGCCTTTGGCCCAGGGCGTGATCCTGGGGTCCCCAGATCGGGTCCCACGTCAGGCTCCCTGCATGGAGCCTGCTTCTCCCTCTGCCTGTGTCTCTGCCTCTCTCTCTCTCTGTGTGTGTCTCTCATGAATAAATAAATACAAATTTTTTTTTTAAAAAGAAGTTTTTGATTTTAATGGAGTCAGATGAAGCAATCTATATTAGTGTTTTCTGGTGCCTCCTTTTTAGAAGCCCTGTAGGCGCGCCGAGCATCCTCCCTCGTCGGCCTCCACCATGCTCGTGGACACACAACGACCTCTCGGGGCTGCGCGTTCCAGGCCCTGTGGAGGCCCATGTACGCTCTGACCGGG